ATATATTGATAGTATTCAGTATTATTTGCTGTATTTCATAATTCTGATTGTTTTGGAATTATTGTAATGTGTTGTACATATTGAAAGCCAGTGTGGTGTAGTGGTTAAGGTGCTGGATTAAAGAGGGGAGACCCACGTTCTAGTCCTCCCATAGGCCCAGAAGCTGGCTGGCTGACTTTGGGGTAATCACTCACTTTCAGCCCTAGATTGGGAAGATGAACCAGTGTGATATATTATAGTTCGTAACCTTTAATGAAGAGGCGTTTCATCTTGCTGCAGATACATATGACATAATAAGAATAAAAATATTTTGTTATATGCCACTTAGACTTGCACAATAGAATTGGTTACAGAAGAAAATAAAAAATAAACAATACTTAAGATAATAAATAAATAAATAAATAAATAAATAAATAAATAAATATCTTAAGATTGTAAGAAACAAAAGAGATGACCTTTTGTTGCTGTCAATTTGTGGCCTGAGTGGGGTTGGAAGGACTTTGATTTAAAAGTAAACCAGACTTTAAAAATTTGAAAGAATTAGTTACCTATGTTTGACAGACAGATCCTTGTTTTCACTCAAAATTCTCTTTGGTTTAATTTGCTCTCACTGACAATTTGCTATCTAGTTTTCATTGTGAAAGATGGAGTTCAAATACTGAACTCACAAATAAATTGTACATGTTCATCTCAGATGTTTCTACCTTTTTTCAGAAATCAAGGAAAAACAATTACATTATTTAACAGAATTCTTATTTAATATATCTGAACTTTATCAGTTGCTCATATAACTCTCACAAGCTATTCATATAGAATAGAATCTCAACAAAGTAAATCATTGCTATAATACTTGATAATCTTTGAACTTTGCTTACGTTAGGATAGAAATGGGTTACCTACATGTTAAGAAACATGTATCTTATAGGTCAAATGGTAGAACATGCTGTTTATTGTCTTGCTTTAATGACTTCTGTTTTATTATATTTGCTGCACCTACATTAATATATCACATATATTACACAAAATATCAATTATATACTTCATTGATAATGCTTTTATTTTCCCAGAATAGCATACTGTAAGAAAATAACTCAAAAGGCGGGGTTGAATGTATGTCAGGACACTGCATGTACCATCGTATTAGTATTATTTAGCTTGGCTTTCAAGGTCATCTCTAGATTAGTGATCCTACCTTGCATAAAATAGCATAAAGAAGCTTGAGACAAAACTGGATTTTGGCTAAACCTGTGGCATACTGGCCAAAATGTACCAAAACTGATTTATGCTGTCTTTAACGTAAAGAAGGAATGTTGCATATAGCATTAATATTACTAAGGCTGGTAAGCTAGTTTTCTGTACCTTTTCTATCTTACTAAACAATTTTATGTGAAAGTCTTGACTGACCAGCTATGAGGGCAGTAGAAGTCAACATCTATTTGTCCATCTGATCGTTGGATAATTCTGTGTGTGTGTATCTAAGAGCAGGAATTTAATTTGAACAATGATTAGGAAAGCAGGTTTTATAACTGTAACAGAAAAGAGATTTATTTGCAAGAAATACATTTTGGAAGAAGGAAGGGCACTTCCTACGAGGAGAAGAGTCAACATGAGCTCTATGCATCTATGCCTGTGTAGAAAACAGAAGGAAGTGACCTCAGATTAGCAATATTTTAGACGAAGAGCAAGCAAAGTGATATACAAAGATGGGACAGAGAATTGACAGAGAGTTGATCTTTAACTCTGTTATCTGTAGTCCACTGCTTTCTTGTTAGTACGTCATGAGTTGTTAAAGAGCCAGTGCCACTGAACGATCTGACAATCACTCAGGACCAGATGAAGGTCAACTGATGCCCTAAGCACAGTGCAAACTCTCATGCCATGAGATGGAAACAAATCTGAGACACCTACAAATCAAACTTTTAATCTTCAGACACTCATCATGCCAAAGAAAACATTTTTTAAACAATGCAGATTAAAATTAAACACAGCAGATAAGGATAATTACACAAAAAATGAGTAAAGTTTAGTGTGGGAGTGAAAGAGTTAAGAGCATGATAGCTAAGAAGAAAAACTCTGTGGTGCCTCCCTTCCCTTGGTGCCCTAATTATGTGGTTATTTTGCTTAATTTATTAATTTATTAAATTTATGAGGCCATCTCATACAAAGTGACTCTGGGCAGCGTGCAATAAAACCAACTATTAAAACTGAATATAAAAATCAATTAAATGATTAAATAATCAGCATAAGTACAAACAAGATTGTGAAAAGGTTAACTAAGATGTCATATGTGGTGCAACCAATGTACAGGCTGTCTGCTGTCAGGGTATCCCCAGGCCTTATGGGAAAAAAAAACAACCACATTTTGAGGGCTTTCCAAAAGGCCATAAGGAGCTAACCTTACCTCAGGGGGGATGATGTTCAGAGGGCAGGTGCCATGTAGCAAAGGCTCATCTCCTGTTTCCTGTCAGATGGAACCCCTTAGCAGACCGGACCTGCAACATGCCTCTCCTGCTGGATCTGATGGGATGGCTAGAAATAATTGGGGGGAGGCGATCACTCAGATAATCTGGCCCCATGTCATGTAGGGCTTTAAAGGTCCAAACCAGCACCTTGAATTGTACTTGGAAGCAAACCGAGAACCAAATTAACATATAAGAAATCAAGATAGTTGTGTTGGAAAATGGAATGAACAACAGCAGTTATACATAAATGGGAAAAAAAAAACCAGGGTAAGTGGATGAATGTGTGTACGTTGATGAAATATTTACTAACAATGGGAAAATGAATAAATATTAATATGTTCAATTTCCTTTAATTTAATTGATTTAGGTGCCATCCGAGTTCAAATGGCTTTGTGTGACTCATAATTCAACAAAAGAATGCAAGACAGTACAATTCAAAAACAACCAGCAAAAAGGTAAGAAAGCAAATAAAAAAAAAATACAACCCACAAAATGATGAATCTGGCCAAAAACATAACTCATAAGGGCTCCAACCACTCTGATCCAAGGCCTGGGAAAAGAGCCAGGCTTTCAAGGCCCTCCGGAATGCTATCAAGCTGGGAGCCATCCAGATTTCAGGGGGGACACGATTCTAGAGGGAAGGCACCATGATAGAGAAGATGCACCTCCTGCATCCTGAAAGATAACACTGTTTAATTAAGAGACCCAAAGCTTGCCAACGCTGTTACTTGTATTGGCTGGGCAGATGCTACGGAAGATAGTCCTATGCCACATAGGGCTTTATAGGCCATAACCGTCACTTTGAACTGCACTTGGAAGCAGACTGGTAACCAATGCAGCTCATGGAACAGAGGTTTCACATGAGCATGCCATCACTACCTGCACCCCTGCATTTTGGAGTTGAAACTTCTGAGTGATCTGCAAGGCCAGCCCCATGTATAACACATTGCAGTCAAGTGGTGAGGAGACTAGGGCATGAGTGACTGTCTGAAGGACCTCCTGATCTAGGAAAGGGTACCATTGGTGTACCAGATGAGGCTGTGCAAAGGGCTTTTTGTTCAAAGTTGCCACCTGCTCATTCAACAGGAGCTGTGAGTCCAAAAAGATCCCCAGATTGATCAGATGCTGATAGAAAGATAGTAGGTAAGATATTGTCTTTCAGAATAAACATTTAATGAAAGAAGCAAAATGATGCTTTATGAGTATACTTCTGCCAACATCATTATATTGATATTTGTACATGAGAACATTCTTCTGCCCACTTTGTTATTATGTTATTTCAGGAGGCACATAAAAGTAACTTGAATGAAGCAGGAATGGGATATGTGTAGTAAAAAAAATTAGGGTTTAGGATAAAAAATGAATGTGTGATAAATAAGTACAAAAGTGAGTGGCTGGTATAAAAGAAGAATGTTGAGGTCAGATAGAGAAAATGAATGAGATGGAATCACAAAACAAATACATTAGGGAAGACTGGGTTGGTTCAGATGAAAGGAAAAACCATGTAAGTTGTAGTTGGATGGAGTTGATCAAATCCTCAAAAGAGTGGTGAGAAGTTTAAAGAATAAAAGGCAATGCATGAAGCAGTGTATGGACATACTGGAAGCAAAGATGGCTTGTAAGGGTAGAAATATATGGAGAAGTATAGTGAATGGTGGTAGTGTAGACTAAATTTACTTTTTTTATTTCATGCCTTTAATTTATTTTGCTTAGTGTTTATTATTTTTATCCTGTGCTTTGCATAATATTGTTTAACCTGAAAAGCAATGGTTTGATGTATGTATGTATGTATGTGTATGTACTGTATGTATGTACGTATGAAAACAAATCAGTACAGTAGTAAATGTAAAACTAAGAGCACACATTTTGTTTATCACTAGGTGGCTCCAATCATCTAGTTATCTCATAATATATCCTTATAATCAGTTATCATGCTAAACCAATGTTTCATGAATTTATTTACAACTAATTTAATGCATACCATTTAAAAATTAACTGTTTGTATACTCAATATATTTTTGTTTGTTTCCTGTTATGCTTAACAGTACATTCTGGAAGAAATACATATTCTACATGCAATTCTGGTTACAAAGTCAGAGGTGGCTAAGGAATTCATGGTCACTATGGCCACCATTTGACTTGACCCAGATTATTGAAGGCTCAACACATAGCAGAAGAGACATTTGATCTGGTTTGGGTCTCAAAACAGTGGCAATGTGATCTAGAGGTAAGAAAGTTACTATTACTTTCTCTAATCATATGCAACATCTACATTATATGAAATCACAGGGCAAGGTCCTATACTAGCATGGAATTAAAGCATTATCAATATAATGATGATATTCAGTTGTATATTTCTACCCTTGGTTTACCAAGTAATGCTCCCAATGTTCTTTTCCAGTGTCTGGAGGTTACATGGATCTGGATGGAGAAGATCAAGCTTTGGCTTAATCCTAGCAACAACAATCCTATTCAAGCTATGGATTTTAAGAACTACCGGATCTGGGAATTTTTGTCATTAATTCTGGATGGGATAGTACTCCATGAGACAGAACTAGTGTACAACTTGGGGGTCCTCTTGGACTCTTGCTCAAAGAGCAGGTAGCAGCCATGGCCAGGAGGGCCTTTCCACAAATCCAACTTGTGCACCAAATGTGCATATTCCTGGATTGGGAAGCCTTACACACAGTTAGTCATGCCTTAGTCACCTCTCATCTGGACTATTGTAATGTGCTTTTCATGGGGCTGCCTTTGAAGACCACTTGGAAGTTACCAGTGATCCAGAATGCAGCAGTGCCTGTAGTTATGGGCATACCATGGTATATCCATGCAAAACCAATATTTCACGAGCTACACTGTCCTCCCAGTAGGCTACTGCATGCAATTGAAGCGCTGACTATTATCTAAAAAGCCCTTTATAATACAGCACTGGGTTATTTGTCGGACCATCTGTATTTGATCATTTCTGCCTTTCCCATAAGATTCAGCAGGATGGGCATGTTCATGTCTCCTAAGAAGCAGTACCTTGTGATGGGACTCAAGGGATGTGCCTTCTCTGTCACAGCATCTGCCCTGTGAAACTGCATACCCCCTGAGATGGGGATGGCCCCGACTCTGGTGGCCTTTTGTAAAACCTGTCTTTTCCCTCAGTATTGAGCAAGGACATTAGATGACCCTATACTGTAAGGGTTAAAATAGCAGGTGTGGTTGGCCTTGGATGTGATTGTTTTTCTTTCTTCTTTTTGTTCTCTTTTAGTTATATTTAATCCAGTATGAGCCACCCAGTTTTGCAACTGCAAGTTGGGCAGCCGTAAAAATTGATTGATTTAAGTAAATAGATAAATAAATGAAGCCAGGTGGGGGAATTCAGCTGCACTTCTTATATCCACGAGGAGCTTGTTTTATATATTAAAGACATTTTATAGCATTCATGAGTTTCCCTAAGGAAGCCTTGGAATTTTAATTTTATGAACCTGACAAAAATCAGTTTGTATATTCAGCAGACATTCAAGAAAGTTTCTGTGTGTTGATTTTGTGCATCTCAGTGCACTTCTGCAGAATGCTTATGGCTATATACTTGAATATATATTGATACGTATCCCAGCAGGCAAGAACCCTGGAAAGGGAATGGGAAAAGCATCTGCAAGAACTATGCATATTGTAGCCATACCTGGAACTCCCAAGGTCTATATATCTGAAAGAATATAAAGATTTTTGTAAAAATATAATTTTGATATAATTTTTACCCAAAGCAATGTAAGAGGAGGGCAGCCACTGAACTAAACAAAAGAGGGATGTAGGAATCCTAAGTGCCAATTAAAAAAAAGTCCACAAACACACCAGTCAGCAAGCTATTCCAGAAGGGCCCTTGAAAAAGGAATAGATTTTCTGAAAAGTGTTTGGCTTTTTAAAAAAAATTTTTATTGGCGCATGGGATTCCTTCCTCTCTTGTTTATGTAAAGCAATGGCAACATAAATTACTCCAACAGTCTAAGCCAGCTAGGGATGAATAAATCATATTTGACTGTCTTGGCTACCAAAACTTACTTTTGGTGAAATGCCCAGCCACCAAAGATTGTCCACTCCTGGTTGATAGGGTAATTAGGTAAATTTACCTTAAAATGTGAAGCAAACAAATTTTTCTCCCATTCCTAGTTTCTGCATGGTTATTTTTCAAAGTATCATGTCAAAAACTCATAGACCCTATGAGAAATATTGATAGGATCGTAGCAGCAAAAAAGCAGAGCATTAAATTCCATCTTGCTCTTCTGCTACCTTTTCCATATGCCATTAATTTTACATTCCCCTTCCCCCAGCACACACACACGTTTGTGTGTGTGTGTGTGTGTGTGTAACTCCACCTGAGTGAACTCGCTAATAAAAGAGGGTCTGAAGTGGCGGCGGGTTTCCAAAATCCTGTACTTTACCTCAGTTCTTGTATTAAACATCTTATTGAAACCTGTTTAATTCTTGTTTCTTTGATTTCATGCTACGTGACACACACACACACACGTGTGTGTGTGTGTGTGTGTGTGTAACGTAGCATGAAATCAAAGAAACAAGAATTAAACAGGTTTCAATAAGATGTTTAATACAAGAACTGAGGTAAAGTACAGGATTTTGGAAACTGGTAGGAACTTCAGACCCTCTTTTATTAGCGAGTTCACTCAGGTGGAGTTTCCTTGTGCTGCTGCTTATGAGATAAACTCATCTTCCCTCTGAAGTCGACGTCTAACATTCTTCATGTTTCTTTCTCAGCCTCCTCACAGTCTGTCAAATAAACCCAGGCCGGTATAAAATAAACCAAAATAAAGATAACAGTAACACATAAATAATGTAAAAAATCTTTAAAACCATTAAGCCATATCATAAAGCACTATCACAAATATTAAGAGGCATTCTAACTGGTCTGAGATAAACGATAGTGGTGATGTTGTGATTGATGATGATGGTGGTTCCCCCCAGATGTAATACTGATGCCAATCCATTGTGTTTCCAAAATTATACCCAAAGTTATCTTAAAAGGTTGGGGAGTATTCTTTTGGTCGTTATACTGTAACCCTCTTCATGTACAAATGGCTGATTTGGGTTTTTGTTTGTTTTTATGCCATCTTAAAGTTTTTCAAGTACTGTGGATATAGCAAAGAAAAAAAATAAGCATGTTTGATAAGAAGCAGTCGATCTCCATTACTAAAGACAGTGGAATAACATTTCGGTTGCAGCAGCGACTTAATATTTAAGTTCACGTTAAAAGAAAATGAGAAATCTTTATCATTCTTGCATAAAGGGTTAACAAATTATTTCATTTTCTCCTGTAAGGATCTAAGCTTCCTGGCTCATATAAGAAGTCTGTCAGTGTTTCCTTCCAGGATGCATTTTTACTTTCCCAATTTAATCTTCAGCTCTGGTATTCCCTGGAGATCTTTCATCCAAGTACTAACCTAGAACCAACCAACCAACCAATCAATCAATCAAAGTTTATTGCAGTCTTGAACCAGTACAAGGATGATGCCCTGTGAAAGTATACATGTTGTTGTTGTTTAGTCGTTAAGTCGTGTCCGACTCTTCGTGACCCCATGAACCATA